AGGGAAAACTATAAATTCTATATATTTCTTATGTAAACCTTTCTGGATTGTGGGTCTTTTTTCATCTCATGTGATAAACTACCAAGGAAATTTTGGGAGATGACACAGCTCTCGTGAAAGTGACACAGGTTGTCTGCTCCCATTCCTGGAAGCTAAACCTAAATAGTTGCATATTTTTAGTTGTGTATTTTATTTCTTATTCTTACTTGCCCTCTGTCAAAATTTCATTACAATTACATCTACTCACAGTTAAATCCTAGCCTGAAATATGTAAACTGTCTAAAAACAGCAGGATTGAGCTTCCTTTCCCCATTAAATAATCCTTTTTTTTTTTCTTTCAACACGTAGAATAGCAGATTTACTCCGAAATATTTGTCCTGTTTAAAAATTAAACATCATACAATTGACGGTACCCCATAAAGGAAATATTCATTGTATAAAATAGAAATTAGTAATTTGTTTGTTCTGAAGTTAATAAATCTTTTTCGAGCAAATAAATCTTTTTATTTCAAGCAAATAAATCTATTTCGATCTTCCCCCTCACCCCCCCCCCCCTTTTTTTTTTAGGGTTGGGGTGGGATTCTTTTTATATTTGAGCATGTTAAATTATTCTGAATCATTTTTCTTTTCCCCTTAAAAATAAGAGTTCCTGTTGAGTATACATCATGGTATTTCCAAGAAAACCAGTTCTTGAGCGGAATTTGCAGGGACATAAAAATTTGCATAATTTGAGATGCAACACCTGCTTTGTTTTGTTTTGTTTTCAAATGCAAAAATGTGGTGACACATCTCTATTGTTTAATTTTGCTCTCATTTCATCATTTTCCAGCAAAATCCTGCAGAATGAAATGGATGTCTGACATAATTCATTTGACAGTGTAGCATTCACAGCAACTGAATTCTCTCCTATCTTCCCAGCTCAAGTATCCCTCAAACAAGAGTGAAGCAGGACTTGTATCCACCAACTCCTCTCTTCCTCTGAACCCCTAAGTTTCATCTTAATGAACTCTTCTACATTGTTAGTCTTAAATTATTTTTCAAGGTCATCTCCAATAAAAGGCAACAGAAGCTGGCTAGCTCATGTTGAAGTGGGGAGCTGTTAAGTCAGCAGGAAAAAGTATACTTTGTCACTAATTATCTTTCTTTTTCTTCGTGTTTGAATTTTTATTTGGTGCATTTCATAAAAGTCACAAATTTCAGATTCAATAGGGTTTAAACAACAGGGTAATAGACTTGTTCTCCTTCCCCTAGGATTTATATCTATTTTTAAAAATTATGGGAAAAAATAATAAATCCTGAGTACTAGAACAAAATGCTGGGAAAGTAAAAATAAAAAGAAATTTTGAGTACTAGAACAAAATATAGCTGCTCCAAAGATTCATCATCAGTCTGGAAGGAGGGCTTGTTAATGAGATTTTTAATTGTCAAAACTGTTGGGTTTGCGGCTCAGATTTTAAAAGAAATTTAAAAATTATTTCTGACTATTTTGCAATACCAGGTAGAATATTAGTTGTTTTAAGTTGTTAATGTTAAGTTCTTTTGAGGTTTTATTGTAAACTTTAAAGAAATGTGAGACACTATACATTTTTAGGAGTGCATCTTGTTGTTCTTTATGAGGTAAATGGAGTTTATAAAACTTGGTCCTGGTTCAGAAGGACAGCATGTACACAACCAGAAATCTGTATTTCATAAATGGTCCATATTGCTAAGCTTTTAGAATTTTAGGACAAATTTCATTCTTTCTCTTATGCTGGGATAAATTCAGCTTCATTGTAATTATAATGGTATAAGAGAGGCCAGAACTGGTTCCCCAAAGATTCCCAGATTAGTGCAAAATCTGGGCATTTATGTATACCATGGAAATCTTTGCAATGTGTAGGTACACTAAATAAGTTTATTTCTGAAAGCTGTAAAGGCTTTGTGTGTTTGGGTCAGTTTATTTAAATGTGATGAAATAGCAAGTACAATGGTAGGGAATCATAACCAGTACAATAAAGTACAAATAAAGTACAAAACCGGAATATGAGGTCAATAAAACAGAAAAACAATAGCAAAATACAGTGTTTAGAAAGCAGATGTTAGCACAGTGTAGCAAAAATTCTATGGCATGTATTTGTTTCCTTGTTTTCCATACAAATGAAACATTCTTTTTCTAACTTTCTGAAGACAATATGGAACCTGAAAGTCAAGATGGACTCACCTCTCTTCCTTCCCCTTTGCCAAAAATTAAGAAGTTATAAGCTAGATTTACACCTTCATATACCTCAATGGGTTTTCAGTCTCCATATTCAATCTCCAAAGAGGCAAATTTACATGGAGCATACCACATGAGGATGTAGAAAACCATGTGATTTGAGATTCCATGTTGCTCTTGCATAGATGGCAAATAAAAATGTGGATTTTGTGTTGAAAACTCAGCAGCTTGTGGCCAGGCAGCAGCAATTTTCATCAATAAGCCTGAGCAGAATTTGCATTTAATGTTTGACACAGAATTATCTAGTGCATACATAAAGCCATAGACTGCTTATAAAGTTATTTGTCAGAATAAGCTACACTCTGTGGGAATTACATAGGGGTTTCAAACATATTGATGTAATCACTAGATAAACAGGTCCATTAATAAATGAGATAGAATAGGAAAATCAGTTATGATTTGTAAAATGGTTGAGTAGAAGAACTGCATTTATAAATATGTCCTAGGTTATAAAAACCGGAAAAAGAAGCATAACTGATTTGAAAGTCATGAAGAATTGGAAATCTTACAGACTAAACTATTATTAAACAACAGGTGGAAGAATACTTTAAAAAATCATGCAGGTTTAAACAATAAAATCATAAGCTTTTAAGTTATTTAAACTCCTGGTTTTAGAATGAGTTTTGCAGATGTGAGAAAAGAAAAACAGCAGAATAGACTTGATGAGTGTTTGTGTGAACTGAATTTACTGTTTACTAGACATAAGAATAAAATAGAGGTTTGGTTTGTTGACCATGCCTAAGTGTTTCATTGTTGTTTATTAATCGATTTATTTATTAATTATTATTTTATTTTATTTTATTAGTGTTAATGAAAGTATTTAGGAACACAAAATGCAATAATCTATCAGTGATGCTTCAGATGGATGACAGTGAAAAGAGCTAGCATGTCTGCAGTGATGAGATAAAATGCTGACATTGGTCATTAAGAACTACTCTCAACTATTTGTTTGATTTCTATAAATGAGCAATGGAGCTCTGAATAACTGTTTTTTGTGTTGCAAGTCTTTGGATGCGGTACCTAGACATGCATATCCTAGCATAAAAGCATGCAGCTAACTGATCAATATTCCTACTGAATATGAGCTTAAATGATATTGACAGCAAAGGTTTTGACAATACTGAAGGTTGAAGTTAATGGTCATTCATCAATAAGCAAGGCAGGTTGGTAAAAAGTTACACCGTGTTTCATTAAGATGCCAAAAGCAGCAAGAAGTGTAGATGGTTGGAAAACATAAAATGTTTTCTGTGACTTGTAGATTTCGCAGCATCCTCCATCCCCCAGTTTTATCTCATCAGGTTCCCACAAATACCATTCTTATCCACTGTTCATACTAGGAACTTTATGATTTGGTCTAGAAAATGGCAGTTTCTCAGAAGTAGTAATAATAAGAAAGTTGATGGTGTGAACGGGAGGGTTGATTCTTCAAAGCATTGTACTTTTTTAAAAGGTTCATTTGATTGCTATTCAATCTTCCTGGCAGAGTGGGAATATCATTATTCAAGGCAAAGACAAATTCATTTGAAAGGTCTGAATGACACAGGATGGCGCTCTTAATGATAGAGTCTAACTTCAATTAAGCAAACAATAAAGACATTAGTAACAACTCTGTAGAAACTGACAAATGCCTCTAGTTATTGGAAGACACTTGCCAAATTAAATGAACTAACAATATACCATAGACTAATCTTGTTTTTTGTTTGTTTAAATATTGATTATGCCAGGCTTTTACCTCTTGATTTGGTGTCCCTAATTCTGACTGAGCAGTACAGTCTCAGAGCTGATACTCAGATCACGTAACAATCTAAAAGGAAAAAAAAATAAAAGTTTTCAAAGCCAAAGTGATAAATTAAAGCAAACCTGAACAGAATTATTTTGTTTGTTGATAAATTTCCACCAACTTGAAGGAAAATGAATGGTATCATCTAGGACTGATGACAGGACAACTGTGCTTTGTGTAAAGAAGAACGATTTTATTGCAGTTGTAAGCGACCTTGCAATTTCAGATTTGGAACAGACAATGTAAAAATTGACAATAATTAGTCAAGCTGTTTGGCTTTTTGTATTCTCAGCATTCAATCTATCATTCTAGAGAGGAGTGTATTTGTTCAAGATTGGGGAAGACATAAGGCTTTTGGTACTCCTTCAGCAAGCGCAGCCAGTCAGTTCAGATTGCGAAGGCAAATGCATTTGACATCTTGCTCAAATACATCATACTCACCCCAGACAGTTCCTTGAGATCATAAAGACCTTATGATGATATGTAAAATTGCTTCGACTATTCCTGTTGTGTCAGGGGGAGTTTAGGTTGGAAATGAGGAGACATCTCTTCTCAGAAAGAGCAGTCAGACATTAGGATGGATTGCCCGAGGCGGTGGTGGAGTCACCGTCCCTGGGGGTGTTCAAGGTAAGGTTGGACGTGGTGCTTAGGGACATGGTTTAGTGGGTGACTTTGGTGGTAGGGGATGGTTGGACTAGAGGAGCTTGGAGGTCTTTTCTAACCTTAATGATCCTATGATCTATGTGAATCCGAACATGCTTTCACTACACAGACCGTTATTAAGAATGTGCTGAGATACTAAGTAGGACAAAAATCGGTTGAAAGCTGTGATGATGGTACAATGATAATGATGATGTCTGAGATGGCATGGTTACAGGCTAAGATATGAATGCCTGTATAGGATCCTTCAAAACAAGAAATTTGGCACCACTAGACCATAGATTAACACTTATTTAAATGTCACAGAATCACAGAATCATGGAATTGCCGAAGTTAAAAGGGACCTCTGAAGAGCATCTGGTCCAACCTCCCTCCCATGCAGGATCACCTAGAGCATATCGTGCAGGATGGCATTCAGGTAGGTTTTATCTTCCCTGGGTACAAATTATGTGTTCCTAATAAGAAATATAATTACTTTTATTTCATATGAAGGGAAATATATGTGTGATCCCCTGCATTGTGGTGACACTTTCCCTGTTATTTAAAGCCTAGTCTGGAATATTTACCTGTAAGCTAGAAAATCCTTTGATGTCAGAAAAACTATAGGTAGAGCTTCACTATTGCAACAGCATTTGAAAAGAAACTGTTCTATGAATGTGAACATTGTTTGTCATTGCAACGACTAAGTTTTGCACAGTTTGGTATATGCAGACTCCCAGATCGGGTAGTAAGCAAAGTAATTGCTTTCTCATGCATGAATTTTTCAATTCTAGCAAGAATAATTTGAATGTTTTGTTGTTGGTGGTGGTGGTGTTTTTTTTTTGTTTTTTTTGTTTGTTTGTTTGTTTGTTTGTTTGTTTGTTTGTTTGTTTTAATGCTTATGGTTAACCTGATAGTGTTGATGCTGAACACGGAAAAAACATGGAAAAACTAGGCCTGAACATTTTTTCTTGTTTTTTTTAAACATTAGGGTCTGGGTGTGATAGTGAACACATATGTGCAAAATATCTTCCTGATTTTGCAGTTTACATGATTACAATTGTCTTACTAAATATGTGAACACACTTGATCTCATAACTTTCACAGCAGTATGATATCATTGGTTTTCACAGGAAGATTTCTGCTGGCAACAGAAGATTGAAATGAGGGATTCTATTATATAGAATTTATCATATCTTATTAATGTATCCTCCTAACTTCCCAGAGTCGCAGCAATAAAAATATCATGCAGCTTCCTTTCCTGTTATTCTTTCAGTTATTAAAATAAAATAAAATAAAATAAAATAAAATAAAATAAAATAAAATAAAATAAAATAAAATAAAATAAAATAAAATAAAATAAAATAAAATAAAAATCAGCAAAGAATACTGGTCAGGTATCCTCTCCCACACTGCAGCTGTTGTGCTCACTTTTCTAGACGATTAAATGATCTTGTTAATTTGGCCTCCATTTTCAATTGTCCATTCAGATATTTAGTATGACATAATAAGTAGGTGTCATACTAAAGGTGGATTTTGAGGTTGATTCTGAGGTGGATTCTAGACGTTAGATACTAAAGGTCAGTTGAGATATATAGATATTGTGGTCATTATAGGGATCTAAGAACTCAGGCACAAAAGCCTTTCTTTGATGATGAGAACAGTTGGAGTGTAGCTAGAGAGTAGTTGTAAGTTTTTCCAGGTGGGTAACAGAAAGAGTGGCTGCAGTTTTATTCTCGTTTATATCCCTCTGGTTTGCACTTTGAATCTGTACTGCTCATTGCCTTGCATGCTACAATGAATAATTTTGTAAAAGGATGGTGTAACACTATTAATGGTGAAAAGACAAAAATGCTTGTTAATGCTGATAACCTCTATTAAACTAAATCAATTTTCTTCATGTACCAGGAAAAAATGGCAGATTGACACCCCTCCTCTATAAAAAGACTCATCTTCTTTGTAAAGCTACCCATTTCAGCAGCTCCTACCCATTTCATGTTATCATGTATTGTACTTATACTTACATGTCTTTGCTCTTCACTGTTCTTGGAACAAAGATGTTGCCCTGTACTTTGTATTTTAAAATCTGTTTAAAAGTATCAGACTAGACTAAAACATTTTCATAAGTAATTACTGATAAGTCCTTTTCCTGACAAAACAAATAAATAAATTTTAGGATTTAGAATAATCCACTTGAAAGGGACCTTGAAATAATACTCAATCCAACTGCCTGCCCACTTCAGGGCTGACCAGAAGTCAAAGCACGGTACTGAGGGCACTGTCCAAATGCCTCTTGGACACCGACAGGCTCGGGGTACCCAGCACCTCGCTAGGAAGCCCGTTGTAGTGTCTGGCCACCCTCAGGGTAAAGAAAGGCTTCCCAATGCCCAGCCAGGCCCTCCCCAGCACAGCTCTGTGCCCTTCCCGTGTGCCCCTCCAGCAGCTCCCAGGGAGCAGGGGCCGGCACCTGCCTCTGCGCTTCCCTCCTCAGGGAGCTGCCGGGAGCCCCGAGGCCGCCTCTGGGCCTCCTCTTCTCCAGGCTGGGCAGCCCCAGTGTCCTCAGCCTCTCCTCACAGCACGGCTGTCCGGCCCTCTGCATGCTTCCAGGGGCCTGAACACCCGTTGTAGGTTGGGAGCCCACAGATGCACACAGTGCTCCAGGTGAAGCCTGCACACAGTGGTGAGGCCGCACCAGCACTCAATACAATGGGAACACCATCCCTTTAGGCCAGCTGGCTGTGCTGTGTTTAGTGCACCCCAACACACAGATTGAAAAGTTATGGAAAAGTTATGAAAAAGTCATGGAAATATTAGTTGCCAAATTTCCTCCTGTGGAACTGCACAATATCTGTTCAGCCCCCTGTTTGTGTCTAATACAGTTCACCTGCATAGCAATGGATCCATGCATTAAAGTTGCTCTTACTCTAGAACATTTTCATCACAGAGTGTCTGAATTATCTTTCAAAACTGTGTTTTGGACTTGCTTGTCCAAACTGTTAAAAAATCAGTAACTGAGAGGAAAAATTATTATTATTATTATTATTATTATTATTATTATTATTATTATTATTATTATTATTATTATTATTATTATTTAATATATAATAATTATTTAATAATAATAATTTAATATATAACAATTAAATAATAATAATAGTAATAATAGTAATAGTAATAGTAATAGTAATAATAATAATAATAATAATAATAATAATAATAATAATAATAAACCATAACAACAAACAAATAAAAGCAGATATGAATGGAGCTTGCCATCTATGTAGACAGAGAGCCTGATCTATGTGGCCTTATGACTACATGCCTTCAAAATATTACGTAAACATATTTGTCCTGATTTTCTGTGCAAAGCTCTGGAGTAGTGTTGGAAGGAATGATCCCCAAAGGCTTTGTGTATTGACAGAAAGTCTTTTACAGTTCACATGTTATTTCTTTCCCCATCAGGCTCCCACCTTTCCTTATCAAGTGGCTGAGGAGCTTTTCTAAAGCAGCCACAAGCAGATCATGTGTTTCCACCGCTCTGTTCAGCATCTGCTTGGATGGAAGGAAGCTGATAGCTCCAGTGGAGCTGACTTATCAGAGGAAACCATGGTGTTTAACACATTAACACGACCTGCAGAAATCTTTCACATGTCCACACACTGCTTTCAGAAGATGTTACCAGGCATTCTGGAAATACAAGACAAAATGCTGTCAATGGAATGGTGTTTTGATGAGCTTTTTCATTCAGCAGAGGATGAGACAGCACCAGTGCACAGTCCCACCAGTGCAATTTATAGCGAATTCATGGGCCTAACATGGCATATTCTCAGCACCGTGTCTATTGCATATTAACAGTTAAGGCACAATAATCTGATATTAGGTGACAAAGGATTGATATTGACAAGGAACTTTGTATTCTACTTTGCAAGCACAGTTGTTGTTTTTAATGATTTTCTCATTGTTAGTTAGTAGAAACTTTGTGAATGGTAACTTCACTTGCATTGTTTGTTTTCTTCGTCTGGTCTTGGCAGTTTCTGAATAGCTGTATTGAACACACTGTTTCTGTAAGGACACTAGCTGTTGTGGGGTAAGTGATTGGTATACTAGGGCTGAAGACACAGTTTCCAGCCTGAATTGTTAGAATGAGACCATTTGTTTCAAAAGGAGTTCCCATTCTTTTGACTGTTCACTCTTGGATACATTTTGGGTTTGTTTTTCTCAGGAAGAACAATTTCTCTTTTGATAACTGTACTGATGAGTCATCTGCAACTGCTTCACCCTTCCCACAGCACACAGCCTACGAGAAAGTCACCAAATTATCCTTGTGAAACAGACATAAATGTCTCCAGAAGCCTTTGCTTCACAAGAACACCCCTTTTTAATGCATGATCATCTTTTGTCCAGCACTTTTTATTTACCAGGTACCATTGCCAAGGTCCTGTCATACACACCTTTCTTGACATGAAAAAGAACAAAAATGAGACTTCCCATCTCCCTGAAGTCTGCTGTGGTTTCTGGTGGCTGAAACTCAAAGTATCTTTAACTCCCAGATCTGACCACTGCAGACCTGGCGGTGATGAAATAGCTCAACACCAATATGTGCAGGTTGTGTTTGAGGCACTATTGCTTGTCTGCTTGGCATTTCTATGGGATCTGTGGGGTTATTATAAGTTACTGAAGGTTATTCTGCACTACTTGCTGGTTGTTGTAGGAATCGCCACTATAGGAGGCCAAGGAAGGAGAAAGGATTTGACTGTATATCCATTAAAAGGTGTGTAGATCCCAAGGTGTTTGATGGGATTTTTTTTTTTTTCTTCCTACCAAACAAAACAAAGGACAGCCCTTGGAATTCTAGGTCTTAGTACAGAAATGGTGACTAATTTGTCATTCAGGATTTATGAAGGATGTTTCCTACTTCTCACTAACAGTAAAGAATAAATCAAATGCTAGGTTTGCAGACTTGAAAATCAGTACACTCTAGAGAGCCAATTAAACATTATTCACGTATCTCAGCCCCATATTAATGTTCTTTTAAAGCACACTCCAAGTCTTCCTCACAAACCAGGACGATGGTGTTATCAGACTAATTTAAGGAGAGTTATCATTATAGTATGGCTTTTGCAATTACACGGTATACCAGGTGGCAAGACAGCACGTCTTTGCATTGCCAGGGTGCAAAACAAATTCAGTGTTCAATCAACCTGAGAAAAAAAGGACAATTCTCATTTGCATAAACATGTAGCCAAGGAAACTAGATGCACAGAGGTATAAGGAAAAGAGACCTATTTTACATGATGTGCATAGAATATTTGACAGTTTAGATTGGAGGCGTCATTGATGTGGGTAGGAATGGTGCTGTTCGTTGCCATGGATATCATTTTCCCTACTGGCAGTGCAAAGATTGGCAGGGATGGATGTTTAAAAAAAGACACACACACACATGCACACACAAAAATGCATGCATACCAAAAACGCCCAAACCACTGCAAGACTCTGGCAGCCTCATTCTCTTCTTTTGTTGAAAAGCTATGTATCCTTCTTTTGCTAATGACAGTTCACCTAATATATGGTGTAATCTAGAAATATTGATGTTTCTATAGTAAATCATTTATGTACAATATGTATTTATACCTTGCACATAAAGCAGCAGATATGTAAAGTGTTTTTTATATACATATATTCTATAGGATAAATGGAAAGACATAGATATTCAATATTTAGGGGAAAATATATTTGTCTATATGTATCTCTGTTTATACTGAGATTCTTTTTCCTGCTTTAATTTATGAGAAAGCCATTGACTTTTATGGACACATTTAAACTTGAACTGTGAGATGTATATATTACAGTATGAATATGAGTTTGTGTAAAAAGAAAAATAACTGATTTTTCTTTAATCGTTGGCAGTAGTTTTCTGATTAGTTGGTCACTAGTTCATATATGAACTATTTATAATTCTACTTACCAGTAAAACAAACACAAGTTCTGCTGTCATTTTACAATTTCTGCCAAATTGCCCTTCAGTGTGATTTGATCTTAGTACAGCCACATTGAACCATATATTTCATGTAGCCATGGGAGAGACTTGATGTCAACTGCTGATAACAGCAGGACTATGTGGACTCTTAAATATCAGCGTTTTTGCCACTTGAGTGTTGAGCATCTCAGGTCCTGAAGCAAGATGCAAGCCAATGCTCTCCTAGAGTCAAGCTCAGAAAAAAAAAGAAAAAAAAAAAAAAAAAAGAAAAAAAAAAAAAATTATTTTAGCTTTCACCTAAAGTATTTCAATTAACGTGGTTAAGTTCCACTCTCAATTAAAAATGAGCAAACTACAGCCAAATATATTTTAAATTATTGTTCATATATTCATGGTCTTCAGGGTGTCACTATAATTACCACCAAGTTCTTCGTTTGAAGCAGACGTTTAGGACTTGAGATGTGACTTTTCCATCATCGGTGATTTTTGCTGTTGGTTGTTTGTGGGTTTTCTTAGTTTGGTTAGTTGTTTCGGTTGTCTGGTTTGGTTTGGTTGCATGTTTCTTAATAAAATCACATTAAAATATAAAGGGACTTTTTTTTTCTTTTTTAAGCATAAAAAAAAAATACAAATTTATATTTATGATGAACCTTTTCAGTAAGGAAGTGGTAATCAGGCTTTAATCAATGTCCATGTAGTATACAATACCTCTAAGCAAAACCTGGAAAACATTTAGTTCTTTATTGTTCTCAAGCAGACACAGGCAAAGAGATAGTCTCTTCCTAGTTCCATTTATTTCTAGTTAGATTACCATTAAGAAATAATTATTTTTTTCCTTATGTATCTTGTAGAGATATATAAGCTTGGGATTTTCCCAGTGCAGATGCAGAACCTTGTTGAAGGTCAACAACATGGCCTTGTTGAGCCTCATGTTGAACCCCATTGTTTGCACAGGCCTCCTTCTTCTGCCTGTCTGGGATGGCATCCCTTCCCTCCAGTGTGTTGACAGAACCACACAGCTTGGTGTCATCAGCAACCTGCTGAGGGTGTACTCGATTCCATTGTGAGGTCACCAATGAAAACTTTTATCAGTACTGGTTCCAGTGCAGACCCTTGAGGGATACCACTTGTCACCCTTCTCCATTTGGACATGGAAATATTGCCCACTTCTCTTTGAATCTGTCCCTCCAGCCAATTCCTCATCCACTCAACTATCCATCCATCCACTCCATGTCTCTCCAATTTAGAGGCAAGGATGTTCTGTTGAACCAAATCAACACCTTTACACAAATCAAGACAGATGACATCTGCCTCAAAGAAATCTCCTTACCCCCAGTGGAGTCAACTGCTCCTCCCAATGTAGCATCATGTGTAAACTGACTCAATATGCCCTCAAGTCCTACATGCAATTCAGTAAGGAAAACATTGAAGAGAACTGCCCAGAGAGGCTGTGAATGCCCCATCCCTGCCCCTGAAAGGCGAGGTTGGGTGAGGCCACGGGCAACCAGATTGAGTGCATGGCATCCCTGGCCATGGCAGGGGGGCTGGAACTAAATGATCTTTAAGGTCCCTTCCAACCTGAGCCATTCTGCAATTCTATGAGTGTGTGATTGTACGATTGTGTGATCGTACGATTGCATGATTGTGTGATTGTATGATCCTAGGACTGTATGGTTGTGTGATTCTATGATTCTGTGAAGAAGATCAAGACGCTGACTGTGGCAGAGTCCCCACTTTTATGTTGTTTATTGAAAGCCAAGTGTGCCCTGCTAACGGCGCCGCGGGGGCGGCCTCTTGCAGGGCTGGGGAGAGTCCGGGCTGCTGTTGGCCCTCCTCTTCGGGGCGCGCCGGGGCCTCGCAGACGAGCGGTCCCTGTCCTGGCCAGGAGGAGAGAGCCCATGACTGCAGCCCGGCACTGCAGCGTCTTCTTGTGCCGGCAGTCCTGGCTCTGAGCAGGGCTCCTCCTGCTCTGTGAGGTCGGGTGCGGTGGCTGGGTGGCCAGGATCCCCACGCAGGGCAGCGCTGGAGGTGCTGGGGAGCTCCTCGGTGTCAGAAGACTCTGGGCTGCTGGAGGAGAGCTCGCTGATCACAGGAGTGGCCCGGGGGGAGGCAGCAGGGCTGGGGGTGGCCGCAGGACTGTCTTCTGCCTCGCTGCTGTCCTGGGAGCCCTCGATGTCCACCTCAGGGCTGTTTCGCTGCTGGCTAGCGGGAGGGGGTTCCAGGAGCCGAAGCCTCTCAATGAAGTTGTTGATGCACATCTCCACAGTTCTGGCAATGAGCTGCTGCACGAAGCTCATTGTATGGCCCTGCAGGAATGGCTGCAGCACCCCGACCAAGGCCTGCTCATGCAGCCCAAACAAACACAGCCAAGCAACAACGTTGGCTTCCAGCATGTCCTGCTGCCACCAGGCAGCCCCGAACAACTCCCTTGCTTGCTGGCGCACCCAGGGCCTCAATGGGCTGATGATAGTTGGGTGGTCCCTGAAGAGGGCCGCCCATTGCTCAGGCAGGAGGCCGCTCACAACAGGCTGGGGCACCGGCACTGCAGCCTCCTGCTCATCCTGTTGGTTGTAATTTTGTGGCTCTGCAGGGCGGATGATCTGCACCTCCATAAAGTCATCTTCTGCCCAGATGGAGTAGCGTACGGAGGTGATCTTCTGCCTGCAGAGGGGGCAGGTGGCATTTCTCGCGGCCCAGCGCATGATGCATCCCAAGCAGAAGTGGTGCCGGCAGGGGATGACGACGCTGGGCTCCTTTGTGGTCCCCTGGCACACAGGGCAGGTGACATCAGCCTCTGTGGCCATCGTGCTGTCTCGCTGCAGCGGGCTGGGGAGAGCTGTGGATGGGGACCTGCTTCCCCTCGCTGGCGCCGCTGCGACAGGTGCTGCTCGCTGCAAGGAGAGAGGCCAGGGTCAGTGGCTGTGCCGGGGCAGGCAGCAGCAGTGCCCCAGCCCCTCAGCAGGAAACCCCCCGCCCGGCCCCAGCCCCAGCCCCAGCCCCAGCCCCAGCCCCAGCCCCACAGCTGGGCTGTCCCGTGCCCCACACGGGCCGCCCCGGGGCACGTGTCCCTGCACAGCTCACCTGCGCTGCTGCGAGCGCGCCTCACAGGGCCCCGGCTGCCTGAGCCAGGCAGGGCCGGGGAAACACGGGCACTGGCTGCGGGGACGGGCACTGACAGCAACTGTCGATGGCCCCACAGCACAGCTCCACCAAAGCCTCGCTCAACACTCCAAGCCTCGCACACACGCTCAGCGGGAGTCCAGGCACGAGCCAGGCTGGCACGGGCTCTGCCGGCGCCCCAATATAAGCAGCGAGGGCCGTGAGGTCACAACCCGTTGCTGGGTGACCTCACAGCCAGTTACTGGGTGACCTCAGGATGGGGAGACATAACGTTGTGCTGGATGGCAGCTGGCTGGGTTTTGGGTATCTGCAGAGAATGAGACTGTCCCAGAATAAGAATAATGGTTAAGGAAAACAGGACAAACACTGGCAGAATCGGCAAGAACACGAAGCTACAAAATCTTGGGCCTTTCCATTTCCAAAACAAACAAACAAACAAAACCAACAACAACAACAAGAAAAATAAAGTTTAGTCAAATCAAGCTGTATATACAGGGCATAGTCACAAGTGTAGGTTGTGGGCCTGTAGTACTCAGCCGGTGAGGAAACGGGAGGAATTAAACATCAGGTAATAGGGGATATAAGGTAATGATAGACTTTCACTGTGCACACCCCTGTTCACAGGACACCCACCATTGCAATTGTGAATAAATTAGCTTCCCAGAAGACCCTGTCTGAGAAAATGATTGAGATACTCCTCACGCCAATAAACATGGGAAGATCTACAATCCTAGGACCTATGTGCAGAGAATGTACCAAAGTCTCTGTGTGAAGGGAACAATGAGAACGAATGTTAATTACTATATGTTCTGTTTATATTTTACTTTTAAAATAGCCTTTTTCTGCTACATGGATTTTCATCTCCTGATCGATGGATTAATAATGCAAGTTTCTGTCTTAACTGTTGGCCTAGCTGGGGCATTTGCGACCACAGAATCACAGCGTGGTTGAAGCTGGCAGGGCCCTCAGGAGCTCATCTGGTCCCACCCCTGCTCCAGCAGGGCCACCCAGAGCAGGGTGCCCAGGCCCACATCCAGGTGACATGTCCCGTGCCCCCCACGGGCCGCCCCGGGGCACGTGTCCCCGCACAGCTCATCTACACTGCTGCGAGCGCGCCTCCCAGGGCCCCGGCTGCCTGAGCCAGGCAGGGCCAGAGAAACACGGGCACTGGCTGCAGGGACGGGCACCGAGAGCAGCTGCCGATGGCCCCACCGCACAGCTGATGGATGGATGCCATAGATGCCATCTCCAAGCAGTTGGAAGAATCACAGAATGACAGAATATGCCGAGCTGGAAGGGACCCATACGGATCATCAAGTCCAACTCCTGGCACCACACAGGTCTACCCAAAATTTTAGACCATGTGACTAAGTGCACAGTCCAAACACTTCTTAAATTCCAACAGGCTTGTTGGAGTGACTCCTTCCCTGGGGAGCCTGTTCCAGTGTGATCAGAGTGAGGTGATTGCACCCCTCTACTCTGCTCCTGGAGGCCTCCTCTGGAGTGCTGCGTCCAGGCCTGGTGCTCCCAGCACAAGAAGGATGTGGGTCTGTAAGTATGGGTCCGGAGGAGGGCTACAATGTTGTTAATGGCTGGCAAAGAGGGGATGGTTTTAAACTAAGAGAAGGGAGATTTAGAGTAGAGGATATGAGGAAATTTTTCCCTCAGAGGGTGATGAGGCACTGGACTGGGTTTCCCAGAGCAGCTGAGGATGCCCCATCCCTGCCCCTGAAAGGCGAGGTTGGGTGAGGCCACGGGCAACCAGATTGAGTGCATGGCATCCCTGGCCATGGCAGGGGGGCTGGAACTAAATGATCTTTAAGGTCCCTTCCAACCTGAGCCATTCTGCAATCCTATGAGTGTGTGATTGTACGATTGTGTGATCGTACGATTGCATGATTGTGTGATTGTATGATCCTAGGACTGTATGGTTGTGTGATTCTATGATTCTGTGAAGAAGATCAAGACACTGACTGTGGCAGAGTCCCCACTTTTATGTTGTTTATTGAAAGCCAAGTGTGCCCTGCTAACGGCGCCGCGGGGGCGGCCTCTTGCAGGGCTGGGGAGAGTCCGGGCTGCTGTTGGCCCTCCTCTTCGGGGCGCGCCGGGGCCTCGCAGACGAGCGGTCCCTGTCCTGGCCAGGAGGAGAGAGCCCATGACTGCAGCCCGGCACCGCAGCGTCTTCTTGTGCCGGCAGTCCTGGCTCTGAGCAGGGCTCCTCCTGCTCTGTGAGGTCGGGTGCGGTGGCTGGGTGGCCAGGATCCCCACGCAGGGCAGCGCTGGAGGTGCTGGGGAGCTCCTCGGTGTCAGAAGACTCTGGGCTGCTGGAGGAGAGCTCGCTGATCACAGGAGTGGCCCGGGGGGAGGCAGCAGGGCTGGGGGTGGCCGCAGGACTGTCTTCTGCCTCGCTGCTGTCCTGGGAGCCCTCGATGTCCACCTCAGGGCTGTTT